GGCCTGGTTTCAGGCTGCGGGGGTGCTCCTCCCCAGGCTGGAGAAGAACCCTGCATAGCTGTCTACGCCTGGATTCCCTCGTGATCAGAACAATGTGGCCACTTAATACAGAAAAGTAAAAGCAAGACCCCGTTAAAAAGAGAGTCCTAATGAGAAAATCTGGCGAGCTCAGAGACGTGACTGTCTGTATTGCTGAGCATCTTGACGTGACCAAAACAGATCTCTTGGAGGGGACAGCCTCGTACAGCAGTTCACACTCAAGGTCTTTCACTGCACACCTTCAGGGCATCCATTCCAGAGAGCCAGCCAGCATCCAAACCAGGACAGCTCTGGTCCCTTTGGTGATGCACACCAGGACGCGTGCACACACAGACACAGACACTGCCAAGCACGCAGAAGCCCCCACACGGGCTCACCTGTTTCCCACGGTTGTTCACTCCCGAAAGCCCGAGGTCGTCCCCTGCAGGTCCGGAGGCCCCACCTGTCTCCCTGCCTTCTTCCTCCTGGCCTGGGGAGAGCTCTGCTTCCCTTTCCGGGTGGCCTGGGCGGTGGCTGTGGCAGGACGGGAGGCTCTGCTGTAACCGCAAGGGGTAGCTGGGGGTCAGGTCCCTTCCCTTCCCTTCCCTTCCAAGGCTCCAGGGCAAAGTCCACTCACGGTCATGTGGTCACTGGGGCAGGGGCAGGCCGGAAGTCACGCTCCAGGCCTGCCTCTCCAGTGTCTGAGCTCTGTTCCCCCTGGTTTGAAGGTCTTTCCTGACCCTCCTCAGAGCTCTCCTGATCCTGTGGCCTTGAACACCCACAGCCCAGGAGAAAAGAGAGCTTTTTGGTCAAAAGAACTTTTTCCTCCTACAAACCGCTGGCAGCCAGTTGGAGGCGGCCCAGGTAGGCGGTTCAAAGGTTCAGATCTGGGCTTGATGCCCCCAGGAGGTGGCCTCCAAGGAGGCAGAGGGCGGGGCACTGGAGAGACTCTGGAGTAACAGAATAGTCTCTTCCAGAGATTTTCAGCCTCCAGGTGTGGCTGGGTGGTGAGTTTGGCCAGAGGCCAAGGAAGATAAACATTGGTCACCTGTGAATGGCAAGCCATAAAATCATCCTGAGAAGCTCCCTTTCTTGATGCACTCACCTGAATCTCACTGGGGTTCCCCAACACTGACACCGGGCACTGGGAAGCAGGCACAGCGGCTCCAGGGTCCCAGGCCCTGCGGGTGGAGCTGCAGCTGGAGGCACCTCTGGGGGCCCTCTGCAGCATCCTGGCAGGACCAGTTTCTCTCTGGGCCCTGCGGGGTGGTTCTTCTCCAGGACACAATGTCCCTTGAGGTGTGGCCACCTCCCCAGCTGGCCTGGCTGCCTTGGACATTGAGAAGCCCCTGCCTCTTGTCATCCATCCTGATCTCCTGCCCGAGACTGGTAACTAAAGGTCTGGGAGCCAGGATTCTCTTGTGTCACTCAGGATAGAGCTGGAACGTAAGGATGCACTTTTCTTTTCTAACTTTGAGGACAAACTTACGAGTTAAAGATCTTTTTTTTAAGATAACGTCAACATTTTATTATCTTCGTAACAAAACAATGAAGCTTAGAACAAGATCACTTGGCCCTTTCTCTTCTATCTCCTCCCAGTTGGAAACGCTTGCATCTCTTAAAATAGCCAGGGTTCTCTTCCATCTGCAGTGAGGCTCAGCTCAAGCCTCAGCACCATCTTCTTTGTAGATTTAGAATTTTTCTTAGTCGGGCTTAGTCTGCCCACCACAGCCAATGTTTCCTGTCATGACGCCGCCTTCCCGTGCACACAGCGAACCCTTGCTCTTCTTGTTCTGGGTCACTTTGGGGGTTGGTGTTTACCATACTTCTTATAGAACGTCCGGCACATCTTAGGAACGTTCACTATGTTTGCGGGAGCCTTATCAACAGGACGAGTTAAAGATCTTGACCATGTATTTATATTATTTGGGGGTGTTGAGGTTGAGCTGGGGCTTCCCACGTGCTAGGCAAGAGCCACACTGAGCTCACGTGTCTGCATCAAGGCAGGGTAACATGGTTATTATGCCCATTGAAACTGGCCTTTTGGGAGACGTGACTTGCCTCTTTGACCTGATTCTGGAAGGTCAGCAAGGTCTTCAGACTGCTTCTAGGACTTGAGCATGAATGATCCATTTGGACTTTTGGCCTGGCCTGTGCAGGGTCTTAGTCCAGCACATGGCCTTCTTGGAATTTTATTTAGCAACATGGATGGTCTTCTCCCATCGTCTTGAGCCAGTTTGGGCACAGGCTGAGAGGAAGACCTGAGCACTAGTTTCGTACAGAAATGCAAAGAGAGAAAGTTGTTGACAGCCAGCTTCTCAGACCCCAAATGGGAGCTGTGTGCCTGCAGCCAGACAGGGTTGAAAGCCAGGCCTTGCCAAGAGCACAGCTTTGGAACCTGCCACGCTCGGACTTGGCTATGAAGCCGTCCACCCACCTTGGTAAGGAAAGTCCACACCAAGGAGGTGATGGGCCGCAGGGAGGGGCTGCCAGGCTTCAGCTGGGATGAGGAACAAGGGCTGGAGGCTGCGTTCCCAGAGCTACCAGGCACTTCATGCCACGGCTCTGGGGAGGGGCAGGGGAGGGGCCTCCAAAGATTTCAGGAAGACCTGAGGAGCACTGAGGTTGGTTCGGATCCCCATGACATGCCAGTGGTAGCTGAAGTCCCTGGAAGGCCCCCCCCGGGCCATCTCTGAGCTGTCACCAGGGCCCTAGTGACCCTGGGGATCCAAAAACCAGGTCCTGCCACTTGCCCCAAAAACCAGACAGGAAAGGTCATGGGGAATCGTTGGAAAGGAACAGCGTTGGCTACCCCAGAAGATAATGGGGCCTACATCCTCAGCCCTGTCTCTGAGGCGCTGACAATGACTTCAAGGTCCTGTAGAAAAGGGAAGGAGGTTTAGACAAAGAATTTTGCAAAAGAAAATGTGGTCACATTTTCTCATTTTTAATGTTCCTTTTTAAATTGAATTCCTGTTTTTATAGTATCTGTCCTTTTTTAAAATTGACAATTTCACTTTACTTTTGAAAATAATAAATTTTCAAACAATTAAAAAAAAAGAAAAGGGAATGAGGGGCCCGGTGAGGTGGCCACGCCTGTGATTCTAGTGGCTCAGGAGCCTGAGGCAGGAGGATGGCAAGTTCAAAGTCAGCCTCAGCAATGGTGAGGCACTAAAGCAACTCAGTGAGACCCTGTCTGTAAATAAAATACAAAATAGTGCCGGGATGTGGCTCAGTGGTCTAGAACCCCGGAGTTCAATCCCCAGCACCCACCCCACTGGGAAAAAAAAGAAAAGAAAAGGCAATGAGGAGCAGGGTTGGGGTTTGCACAGCCGCCACATGTCCACCACAGCTCAGGATGGCTCAGACCGGGCTTATCAGACTGTTGTTATTGCCTTGGGGGCACCGGTAGCTCCAACTCACCATGAGATGCTTATCTTTTAGACCTGATGTTCCTAGAATCCAAGGTGACACAGATCAAAGGAGATGGATGCAAAATGGAGGTTGAGCCACCCATCGGACGCTTGCAGGCCAAAGTGGAGTGGATTCTAGGAACGTCAGGTCTAAAGGATAAGCATCTCGTGGTGAGTTGGAGCTACCCCTGCCCCAAGGCAATAGCAACAGTCTGATAAGCCCGGCCTGAGCCATCCTGAGCTGTGGTGGACGGAAGGCAGCCACTCAAGACCACCTGATGTGGCAGCTGTGCAAACCCCAACCCTGGTCCTGTGACTGCCTCATTCTAACCTTGCCTGGAGGCACCCACTATGAGAAGCCTGCAGCTCTCCTGTGATTCAGAAGGTGCTTCCACGGGCCGGGGTTAGACTCAAACACTACCAACCCCACGGCCAGGCTGAGCAAGACCCACAGCAGAACATAGACTTGCATTGTGCACACCATGACCATCATGGCTTGTGCTAGAAGTTAAGTAAAAATAGCACAGAAACAGTTTATATACATGGCCATAATTAATACTATTTTTATATGGTGATGCCAATTTTTAATTTTCTCTATAAGCATGTCACCAATTCTGCTGTGACAATTTCTCCTATGCCATTTAAGCGGACCCCATCCTTGGTGCACACCTTGTCCCCTGGAAAGAAATTCAAAATCACAGCATTGGGCAGAGCCCTGGAGTCAGTGGGGCTGCTGGGGACCATCTGGCCTGAGTGTCCACACAGCGGTTGACCCTGCAAATCCTGCTGGCTGAGTCTTCAGTCTCTACTAAAGTATCTTCAGTGAGTGGGGAACTTCTGTCCCCGGGGACAGTGTCACAGGGCTGGGGCCTGCAGAGAGACTGAAGCAGCACCAAGACCCCCTCTCCAAACTTCGATTCTTGCCATCAAGTCAGAAAGACTCCAGACCTGGCTCACAGTGACGGGATGAGTCTATTGAAGAGATAGGAAGAGGGAAAGGGGACACTCTAGAGGGAGAGAGTAGGTGCTCTCAGAGAGGAGAGGGACCCCGTGCCTCTCCTGCACTCCAGTTTTACTGGGATTCCAGAGAAGTTTCCAGAGAGTCCCACCCAGGTCACCTCTGGACTTTTGACTGACAGTAGATGACATCACGCTTTCAAGTCCACACTGCCTTGGCAACTCTAGGTCACCTTGGCCCCTGCTAACTTGTTGTAACTGGATTCTTGACCACACATTCTTTCAGATTTTATGGTTATTAGGAACTACCCTTATCTCCACAGTTTCTCCCCCTTCAGGGTAACTTGGCTTCCTCTTATCGACATTATTTTGGGCCTGCACGTCTCCTGCAGATAACAGGTAATTTGCTGAGGAATGTGACATTCCTGTCCACGGAGGCCAGGCAGGGCTGCAGGTGGATTGCTTCTTGGAGAAGAAAGTGTGTTGGGGTCTGCATGGTGGGCCAGTTTATGGGATTATTTCTTTAACCTCCTTCCCATCCAGATGTGCCTTCTTTAACTTCCCACCCTTCGCTCTCCTGGGTCACAGAGAGCCAGACCCCTGCTCCATGTCTGGATCAGTCCTCAGGGCTTGCAGCAGGCACAGCTCACTGCGCACCCCGGGCCCCTGCCCCCTTGTTCTGGTGACGATGGCTCACATCATCTTTCAGGTAGAAATGGCAGGATGACCAGACTCTGGCCAGTGAGGAGAGCCAGAGGTCCTCTTGGGCAGGGGTCTGTGGGGAAGGGCTGCCTCCCTCTCCTCCTTGGGTTTCCTTGCAGAGCTATGGCTAAGGCTAAAACTCGGCGTGATAGTTATCCGATGTCCAGCTCTCCAGAATGTCCTTATCACTGAAGGCCTGTGAGATAAGCAGGGACCTGGAGGCTGCCTTTTCCTGAAACCTTCACCCTGGCTTATCTAATGGAAAATTCCAGCAGGGATTCCTGAATGCCAAGTCAAATTCCTCAGCTCAACAGTCCGTTTGTCGCGTGGCTGCTGGCCAGCAAGGGCAGAGCAGAGGGAGCAGAGCAAATAAGGCAACCCACCCCAGGAGCAAGACAGCTCCCAGAGTAGGGGGCAGCTGCCAAAGGGTTCCTACAAAAGGCAGAGAGTACAGCAAGAGCAAGGGACACTCCTGGCCAGAAGGA